GAGGGAGGGAGAGAGAGAGAGAGAGAGAGAGAGAGAGAGAGAGAGAGAGAGAGAGAGAGAGAGAGAGAGAGAGCGAGCGAGCACGGAGGTCAACACACCGCAGTCGTGGGACTCCACAGGGGCGTAACCGATTAATGTAGGAGGATATAATGGGGGCGCACGATGGATTTGCAAAGCAAAGGTTTCTACTTTATTTTCAGACACACAAAACAAATTATAAAACAATGTCGCTACCTACCTCATTCATTTTACACTGATTTCTGGTGCTTTACATTTCCCCCTTTTGCGGTATTACGTGTGTAGCGGTTTGATTTTGCATAGTCGACGCTCGGCGCCATCATCGTTTCCAATGCCTGTACGCGATAACGATTTCCCCGTTTCACACTCTTCCGCCCCCCTTGCATTCTTGAAGTTGTGTGATATACGCACGGCGGCGCTATCTCCGCCCCCACACCAGCGTTCAGGTCCTTTCCTCGCACTCGCCCCGACTAGGGCTGTGCGATGTATGCGACATCCGTATATCGATGTATCGAAAAACGATAAGGACCCAAGTGTCGGATGTATATCAACTTGATGCACGGAATCTCCAAAATGTCGAGACAAGAGACACACATATATCTCGAATAGGACGACGCGAGGCGTCTCAAAACTAACGATGTCGCGGTGGTATATCGAGCAATATTTGAGGTCCCCTGCCGATTTCTTATCGAAACCTTCGATACCTCGATATCGATATCTGGAGCACATGATGATGATACCGTATATCGATAATATCGAGATTTCGCACAGCCCTATATGGAGGCCGGGACTCGGGCGGCGCGCGGGCGGAATACAGACATTGTACGGGGATGGCGGTCGTCTCGGCAGCCCGACGGTCGCGCTAAATCATAGCCAAACGGCCGGCGTACGGACTGCGGTAATCCCTTCTCCTAGGAATGACGAACAGCGCGACAGAGCGCATAGCCTCGCCGCGACAACCGGTTTCTGCAAAATGGGGAATAATAATAAATTGAGTGCGGAGTCGCTCGCGGTGCGAGCGCGCGCGGGGCGGACTTGCTGTGGCGCGGTACTTTAAAGTTGGGTCAGGTCATCCGGTCGCCTATTTTACGGACCCTGTTTTGAATCGGGACGATCGACATGTTTGTCTGCACGGTGCACACTACTTGCAACGCGCCCCAATCGCGACATCTATGAACCGCCTCTGTGTTTGCCGCGGCGGACTTTACGGGACTCTTAAAAAGATAAGACGCATACTTTTACGACGCGAATATAGGCGAAGGAAAAACTGGGCACTCGCTCAGCTCACAGGACTCGCCTCTGGAGTTGTTTTTTTCCTGACAGCCCACGGCATCCACTCTGTCACTAGCAAACGCAAAGGTGTGACTTAGTCGTATGGCCGTTAGGGGTGGCGATGATTATGTCTTTGTCAGCTTTAAAGCGTGTCCTAAAGGCACTCAAGTTAAGCGCCGCGTTTAAAGGCAAGAGTCATTGTTTTTGCCGGCGCTTCTGCAGTCATGCAATGTCGCGGATGTATGAATGAATGCAATCGTGAAAATCATACCCCTGGCCTCTACCCAGGGCCCAGGGAACAGGAAAGGGTGTATTTCAATGTCAATATCATCAAGGTAGTTCGTTTGACGTCATCTTGGGCTAATATTGTGAACAAAACGACCCCTTTCACGTCAAATCGCGTAATAGTTAAACCATTTTCTGTTTCCTTCGGTTCCCTTGGTAACAACTTATGTCATGTTATAAAGGATATAACCATATGCCTGGAAGATCTTCGTGAGCAATGATAGTGGTTAGCCTTTCTGCGTAACACCTGAAGTCCTAAGTTCGTGTGTATTGCCGTTCATTCCCATTTCGGGGGGGTTTCACTTTGCTGCTCAGTTCAGCGACGACAACTTTGTGGTGTAGTATTTGCAGCACAGATGTTGAGCACAAAAAATAAACAACAACCAACAAAGGAGTACCAGAGAAATGATTGATAGCGAGCAGGGGGAAAAAGGGAGAGAGGGGGGGGGGGGGGGGGGGGGGGGGGGGGGGTGGAGGGGGGTCGGCTGACACTGATGAGTGAGTACAGCCGCTTCTACTTACGCTCGGCCGAGTGAGGCGTCCTGGCCTCGGCTCCCTCCGAAATGGGAGGAGCTCGTTAACGGTGCGAGGTTAGGTCGCTGCGACTCTGTGCGTGGGAAGGCAAAAGGGCTTGGGTGTGTGAACGAGGAGGTCCATCCATGCGCTATGAGGGATCGTCCCTAAAGTACGCCCCGTTTTACCCCCCAGATTACATAGATCCGTAATTGTCAAATTACGAAGGTTTAGCGCCTGCGAAACTCAGGATAGGCCACCCAGCTGTACACGTATGCACAGCAGGCGAGATATCGCATACCTACCAGGCGCCATGAGAGCTTACACTGGCTGAACTTGGCGGTGGTTTGGCGCGCCGCTCGCGCTCGCGTGCACACACACAGACACACACACACACACACACATCTCCAATGCTGCTTTCCTTTATTGTCATATCAAGGCACACACATTTAGCCGCTGGGTGAGGTGTGGGTGACCTCCTCCCCCTCCCTCCTTTGTGCTCTCAACGGAGGTAATGAGCTCTGTATGCACTCGTATATGGCGTTTCCAGTCGCTTTTTCTTCCTTTGCGGCGCGGCATCACACACAACACAAACACACACACATACGACACACACACACGCACACACGCGCACACACACACGCACACCGTCGAGTGACGCGCGCTCCGCAAGCCGCCGCGACGGAATTCTTCGCCGGCTACTCACAGACAGAGGCACACAAGACACCCCCTCCCACCCCCTCCCTTGACCCTACTTCCTCCGGTTCTCTCTCTTTCCTGATATACGGGTAAAAAAAGTACTACAATATTAAATTGTGAAGAATAATAGTTTCACCACACCACCTTCAACGTCAACGTGTGTGAAATAATACAAAAACAAGAACAGAAAACTTATTTATTAAAATGACACAGGGCATATCTTGGCGGCCTGAACTGAACTTTCCCAATTTGTGTTACGAAACGCAGCGCCCTTGCCATAACGACACTGATCCAAATTGCGATACTTATCTAATTTTAAAAGTAAGCAAAATAACTGGTGAAGCTTTCGTCGAAAATTGTTGCGTGCGTGGTTATCAATATAGGCTGCATGTATGACGACCTCATCGTGACTTTTTCTCGAGCCCGCGAGTGCCGAGTGCGTGTGGTAGGCCGCGTCGAGCTGAAATTAAAAAAAATGTATAAATAAATAAAAAATATATCTTTTCACTCTTAGTCCCTTACAAACAGCGGTGTTTGTATTACGAAGAATTTGTTTGTAACTTACAAAGGATCTAAAGCAGCCATATTACGAACGATTTTCCTTCATATTACGAATACCCCCCATTCGTAATACGAAAAGCCTCGTTTGTAATACAAACCAGGCTCTTCGTAATACAAACAATTTGTTTGTAATACAAATGCTCCAAAACATTTGTACGTTACGAAGAGCAGTTGTTCGTAAGGAACTTACAGTGTTAGTTATAAATTATTAGGCTCGCGGCGATGTGTCGTCGTCGTGCTGGAAATATGTAAAATGTCAGGTGGAGCGTCGGGCACGTGCTCCTGGGGGTACCGCGTGCATATTGGCCATGGCAGACGGAGAACCAGTTTACCCCCACCCAGGCCGCACCGAGCCACGCCACGCCACGCCACGCCACGCCACGCCACGCCACGCCAAGCCGCTCTACATTGGCCAACAAGACATGCGGAGTTTGGAGGCTGCTAGCTGCTGCTGCAAGTGCACACACACACACACACACACACACACACATTGCTATAGGGAGGGTGGGATCACTTACACTTGGTGTTTTACACTTACTCTCTGAAAAACAAAAATTAAATAAATAAATACGCACCCTCCTCTCTGCAGCCCACGTCAAGACCAACGTTCGTCAAATTTAGCGAGTTCCACGAAGTTCAGCGAAGTGCAGAGGGTGAGTTTCATCGGATGTAAGAGAAGTTCGTGAAAGTGTTCGAAAGTGTGAAATAATGGAAATGTGCCCGCGCACTTGTTGCGCGCCGTGGGCCGGTTCTGTAAGTAGTGAAGGTCCGGCTAAATAAAGGACCCGCCGAGTGAAGGGCGCCAAGGAAGGGCTCCAAGGACTCGCGGTGACGCAGCGGAGCAAAGCGGAGCGGAGCGGACACCTTCATAACCGCCCAGAACGGAATAAGGCAAAGCACATTACTCTGTTGTCGTAACGATTCGTCCGCACGACCACCCCCGTTTCCCTCTCTCTCTCACTTCTTCCCCCTCCCCTCCCCCCTCCCTCTCTCCCGCTGGACCGTATGCCGAATATCTTTATCATATTAAGTAACGGACGAGACGCCGTCTGGTGCGGTGTCTGGTGGGTGCCACTACTTGTCGCCAGCTCAGCGCCAACTGAAAGAAAACGGCGCTCTCATCGTGATTATTTGGGCAGCACTGTTTGTCCATAAGAGAGAGGAGAGACAGAAAGAGATGGCGATAGGGCTACTATAGCTCTACAGCAAATCCCCCTTTTATTGTCGATGTATGATGAGACGTGCTAAACTTTCTGTCTGCAGTTTCGGTACTTATAAAACAAAAATAGAATGCGCGAAAACAATGATTTTTTTCAGCATAATGTTTATAGTTGTTTT